CATCACCCACGATTCAGTTTTGTCAAACAAATATTGATAACCAATAATGTAGTTTACCGTTTATTGTCAAAGAAAATAGAATTGGCGTACCGAGTCCAAATTCCAACCTCATCTGTTGCTTTTATTTTGGGTTTTAAAACTGCCGGTTGGAAAAACAGGACTCTCCCAAGTAGTTGTGGATTAAATATCAGAGTAGACTCTATTCTTTAGCTTAGAGAGGTAGCGAATCTAGAAGGAAAATAATGAATTCACCCCCACAACCTGTCCTTCGAAGTCATAGCAATCACAGATAATAAAGAAAAGGAATCTGTCGAAAAGGCAACAAGAAAACACTTGGCTAAATTTCCCAAAGAGTCATAGCAAATTCACAGATAATAAAGAAAAGGAATCTGCGAAGAAGGCAATGGGTAATCACTCCATCTTCCGGAGAGGTCATTGTAATTCACAGATAGCAAATACAATGATAAAATGATAATAATAAAGAAAAGAAATCTGTGTAGAAGGTAAAGAAAGATGAACAGAAGCAGGAAGTTGTGGAGAGACATGATCGTCCACGTGCTGAAGAGATATGGTAGATAAAAAAGAATTTCATAGTAATTCTTTGATATAAATAAAAATTCGTAATCGAAAAAATTTACTTACGATTGTTAAAATTACGGAGTTGCCTAAAAAGCAAAAAAAGAATAAATAAGGCAATGTACAAATAATTAAATGCATTAAAATGCAGCTTAAAATACTCTGCGAATAATCATTTTACTGACAACAATTTTTGGTTATTTTATAGAATTGTATTAATTCTACGAGTCTCTTTAATACAGGTTGTAATATATTCAAGTTCGGCGCGAGGAATATTCGCTTTGAAGAAAGTCTTAATTATTGAATTAATTAGATAAAACTTAATTAGATTGGAACTTTTTACGCAATGAACTTTTCACATGGTAATTTGATGACGGCGAACTTACCAGACACGCCGACAACTTTTATTTCCAGAATCTATCTTGCATATCTATAAGTCTACCATTCGTCCATGCTTAGAATATTGCTGCCACATATGGTCCGGTACCCCTGATATTTACCTTGAGCGCATTGATAATATGCAAAGAAGAATCAGCAATATTATTGGTCCTGATCTGGCGGCTCGGCTTCCTTTATCCCCGCACCCCGCCTTAAGGCCGCCTCTCTGTGTCTTTTCTATAAATACATTCATGGTAATTGTTCGGATGAACTCTTCGCTATGGTATATATTTTAATCCCCCCCCCCCGACAATGAATTGTACATATGGGGACAAGTAGGACTTCATGAAGATTCTAATGTATTATGGTGGATTAAGTAAGAGTCTTGTACCAATTCTTTGTGAAATTTTATTTGTTTTCCTTCCTATTTATTTATTTATATTAATTGAAGTGAATTTAGTCCTCACTCTTTTCGAAAAGCTTTGAATTAATTCTTTGAAATATATATTTTTCTTTTTCGCCGTCTCATGCAAAAATCTTATTTGGTTTATATCCACACACACACACACACACACACACACACACACACACACACACACACATATATATATATATATATATATATATATATATATATATATATATATATATAATGAGACTATAATGCATTAATATATATAATTGTATATTTGGGCAGCAATCCCAAAGGATGATTTTCTTTTTCTTTTAACTGAATGTAGAGATTTTCCAAGCGTAGCTTAGATGTGGCACAAGGCCGAAAGCATGGGGCATCCAATGAAGATCGAACTCACTTTTTAGTAGTAACTGATCTAGCAAGACAAGCTTGCTAACCATTACACCACGCCGAGGTGCCCCTTTTAACTGAATGTACGTGCTGACTGTCTTTGGGAAATACAACATTCATACAACGCTAGATACATGCATAAAACAATCCATAATATTCAGTTAAAAGTAAAAATGAAATCATCCTTGGTGATAGTAAAAGGTGTAGTCGAAAGGGCTCGGACATAAAAAGCAAAACAAAACATTTGAACAGTTTTTACATGATGCGTATGTGTTTGGTTGAATAATCTTGACATGTTATGTCTATTTGTTTTTAATTTAATCCTCTAAAATTCACGAATCAGTTTCTTAGTACTGTTACAAAACTGTTCGTTTATTTCCCAAGTAAAGTCCAATCCAAGATAATTTTCAGCGGCGAATTACTAAATTAAAAATTAATGCAATTGATAGTTGTGAATTTTTTTTTGTAAATGCGCATGAACCACGCTCTGTTATAGTCAATTTATGTTAAGAATATGTAAGTGAGGTAACTTAGTTTAAAGTTTTTTTTTATTATTAATGTTTTAGAAATACTCAATACTGCAATTTAAAAAAGAAATGTTTTTACAATTTGAGTATCCCAAAACATTGTTTTTATAGACATTTTAAAACATTTTTACTATACTCATAATTAATTTTATTTGGTGTCGATTGAATTTTTCGTATATAGAGCGCCTCGAGAATTTGATGTTTTTTATTTTTATGATAGAATATCAATTAATGTCAATTAATATTTCTCTAAAACGTGAATGTGAACAGGAATGTTCTTTTAAATGTTGTGCTATAGAACTAGAATCCGACATGTCTAAAGTAAACCTTATTGGCTGTGCGGTCGCTGTGAAACCAACATATATATTTACGTGTTTGTCAGCGATTCAATCTCCTAAAGGACATTTAAATTGATATACAATGTTGGTATTTTGCAAAACATTAGATAACCGAGAAGAGTTCTTGTGGATGATTATGTTGGTTGTATTAAATTTAGTATAGTATATAATTAGTTTTATTTTTTACGACGATCAGTGGGGATCTATTAATACTTATGAGTTTTTTAGGATTTTTTTAGGATTTGTTTTTAGAGTGTATTTGAGTTTGGTATAGTAGGTTGATATATTTAGGGTTATTTGAGGAAGTATTATAATCTTTTTGGTTTATGTTAATATTTCTAATTTGTTCACCAACAATGCAATTAAGAAAGTTATTATTAATGTGACTTAATGTTTAATTTTTTTTAATTCCGTGTATTATCGTGGAAGAGTTAACATTTGCACGATATTCACTTTTATTGTTGAGAGTGCACGTGTTTATGTTAATTAGGTTTTTAGGGGAACTAGTAAATATATTATTATTATTGGTGTCTATCAATATATCAAGGAAGTGAATTCTGTTATGCGAATTTAAGAACGGAGTTCTTATATATATATATATATATATATATATATATATATATATATATATACCCGTGCCTAGAAAAATCCGGAACTTTAATTATTTACAATTAGATGCTTTGACCAACACATATCGGTCTTTACGTTATAAATAACCCTAATTGTGCTGCTAATTTTAATCTGGACATGTTTTCCATCTTGAGTAGGTTTCACTCTAATTACCACTTAAATCTATTGAGGCCCATGTATATCTTATATGTGAAACTTTCTCCTTGCAAACAGAAGGATTTTGTACTTAATTTACAATTAATTACCATTTAATTTTTTTTCTTCACATATTCTCCTTTCCTTTTATTGATAATGTATACCTTCATTTATTAACCTTGATTTAACTCTGTTGATCGAGGTTCGAAACCGGTCAGCTAGCCCGTTTTTTCTTTTTCTTTTAATTGTTTTAATATGTGGTAATATTAAAAATAAATTTTGTCCGTTAAGTTTTGTACCACTAATTAAATTTCATATTGTCGGACTTTGTCCATTTCTTAATATATATATATATATATATATATATATATATATATATATATATATATATATATATATATATATATATATATATATATAATGAATATATAATATCTAACGTCGATAGCACGACTGGGACTTTCATACATTTGCATGAAACTCCGAACTGTGTTATCGACGTTAGATATGTATATTTACTGATATAAATAGATATATATAGATATGTATATTCACTGATATATACTATATATATAGCTCTGTCTCATAACATTGAGCACTGTATTTATAACCCCTGTGGAGAAAATATATATATAATTACGTAAAAAGTTTTCGTGCGTGTATGTGTATGTATGTATATTTTTTATCATACACATCTCTCTCTCTCTCTCTCTCTCTCTCTCTATATATATATATATATATATATATATATATATATATATATATATATATATATATATATATATATATGCGCGGTACTTCTGGGAAAGCGCTCAATATCAGTGATAGAGCTAACATATTTAGTTGTATTTAGTTGATGTGAGTTTGTGACCCTGGGTTTCACGCTATTTGCGATCGTCAGACAAAATGATTAATTTTTAAATTTTGGATTTATATATGGTTGCGTATATCGGTGTTTTTATGGAACTTGGAGGAAAAATTGTCGTCGGGACGCCACTCATACATACGCAAACATACATACACGCACGTTCATGCATTGTAGCTCACACAGACATCAACATATATTAACAGTGTGGGACTGGGCGTATTTGCGCATCTATGTGTCATTGCGTACATACATACGCAATTGGTCGCTGTATTCAATGTTGGATTGTGTAGCGAACTTCTTTCGTCAGACCGGTTAAGCTATATTTTTTTAAATTCAATTTCTATTTCGATATTTCCACTTTACGCTAATGTAAATCATATTTGCTACATTTCTCTTGTTGCTTTAATATATCCGTTTTAGTCACTATTATTAAATTTTTTAGGCGCTTTTAAAATAATCAAAACTTAATTTATCTGAAATGTGATATTAAGTCAGAGAAAGTCTCAAAATACCGTCATGATTGAATAATGATAATATGAATTTTTATCAATTAAGATTTTTCACAAAACATGCTGTAAAGTTTGCCACAGAAGCAAGGCAATCTATGGATGTACATAAACATCTTTTACTTCATTCACTGATTTGACTAGCGTCTTTAATAGCGTTGCAAGAATACTTACCAGGTTGGAGTACCATCTGGTTAGCTAAATTACCATTGATATATATGGAAACAGTAGCAGGAGATGTTATACCGTAAATTATAATATAGACGTCGTAAAATACGCCTTGCATATAATATCTTGGCATATACACTATATAGGATTTTTGTCTGAAAAAGGAAAAAAAAAATGACATTTTCGGAGAAACAGAGACAGAGGAAGAGAAAATTATCCACACACATCTAGATCCAACGAACAAAGAATATTAGGCCATAAAAGTCACCTGTGTCGGGATATCAGATTGAATACAACTGTTGCCGTCAACTGTACGAGACACGGGAGCCACTCGAGGTAGATGGTTACAAAGTAAGGGGAACAGTTTATGCAGATTTATGGAGGAAGATAACGATTAATCCTAGATTTGAACAGGCCAAGATTGTAGTCATCGCGAAAAGCATCCTCTTGGGTGTCGATTCCAAATAGTAGCAGTTAGAGAAAACATATAGATTGTTTAGCGGCCTATCAACATCTTTATGGGTTATTTAATGCCGAACTCTAAATATTTTGTAAGCATTTTTATGGCTTCAATTACAGATATTTTGTACATCATTTTATACTCTCAGGGCAAACATATATTTTTTTAGATATATAGTTTTAGATGATAAAATCTATGGCTGGTAATTTTACTGTAACAATGTATTTTTATACTTTAATGCTGTACTGATTGTCATTTTGCGATAAAAAATGTATTACTAGTGGTCATTTTTTTTGAATAAATATATTTCTTGTAATTTTGCCATAATATATTCAAAATATAAATTATTAAAGGGTGGTACTACATTTCTCAAAACCTCCAATCTCCCTATCAGATGCCATACTGCCGGATGTAGTTTATCGTCATACCGAGGACAATCGTGGGAAGAAGACAATTTTTGCGACCACATTATCCCTTCCATCTGGCCACCTAACTCCCCAGACTGCAACTACCTTGATTATTGTGTGTGGAGCGCGGTTGGGCGAGAGACCAAAAAAACTCCTTGTGACACCAAAGATGAACTGAAGGCAAGGATTATGGCAGCATTCACCAACAAGGAGACCGTCCAGAAGAGTTGCAGGTGATTGCGAAGTCGTCTGGAGGTCGTGGTCGAAGACAATGGCGATTTTATTGAATAAATTTACTCTTTAGAATTTCAAGGTATTTTTTTTTCGTAATTTTGGTGAACGTATTTTTTTAAAACGAGATGTCAGTGTCGATTCCATATCACCGTAATTTAGACCACAATTTATCCATCGCACGCTGTATTTATTACGCTTCCTTTGTGCCGTGTCCATTTGAGACGTGGGCGGTCATAACTCTTTACAATTTCCTATCCTTTGTAGCTCTTAGTAAATTAATATAAATGCATTATATACTTTACGCTTTAAACAGATTAGCAAGAGGCTTTCTCTTTTGTTTCTGTTTTCATAAGTTCATCCACTAGATAGAGCTGATTAAGTCTTACAAAAATAGACGGACTATGATGGTAGTGTAACGGTTATCGGTCAGAAAAAGTAGATTCTGTGAACTGGGTTCAAATCCCGACCGAACCCGTTACGTTTGATTCGCACTGGAAACCCTTTGGAAAGGCAGGAGCCCATTTCCTGTGCATTTTTCAGCCATTCGGTAAAATAGAAGAGTAGACGGGTCTCTCTAGCTTTGCAGCCAGTCTACTAGAAGGGCTGTTCCGAATTTAAAAGCGCAGTGAGGCAACGGAAAACCACGATAGATCTATCTGTCGCAATATGTTCATTATCTATCTATCTATCTATCTATCTCATTAAATTCTTTATCTATCACCGTTTGTTCATCTTTCTTTCTTTCTATCGCAATATGTTCATTATCTATCTATCTATCTATCTATCGATCTATCTATCTATCTATTTCATTAAATTCTTTATCTATCACCGTTTGCTCCTCTTTCTTTCTTTCTTTCTTTCTTTCTTTCTATCGCAATATGTTCATTATCTATCTATCTATCTATCTATCTATCTATCTATTTCATTAAATTCTTTATCTATCACCGTTTGTTCCTCTTTCTTTCTTTCTTTCTTTCTTTCTTTCTTTCTATCGCAATATGTTCATTATCTATCTATCTATCTATCTATCTATCTATCTATCTATCTATCTATCTATCTATCTCAATTAGTTCATTATCTATCTATCACCGTTTGTTCATCTTTCTTTCTTTCTTTCTTTCTTTCTTTCTTTCTTTCTATCGCAATATGTTCATTATCTATCTATCTATCTATCTATCTATCTATCTATCTATCTATCTATCTATCCAGTTCATTAAATTCTTCTATCTATCACCGTTTGTCCATCTTTTTTCTTTCTTTCTTTCTTCCGAATTTCTTTCTTTCTTTCAGTTTTCATTTCTTTCTATCTCAGTATGTTCATTATCTATCTATCTATCTATCTATCTATCTATCTCAATTAGTTCATTATCTATCTATCACCGTTTGTCCATCTTTCTTTCTTATTTCTTTCTTTCTTTCTTTCTCAAATATGTTCATTATGTATCACAGTTTGTTCATCTATCTATCT